GATTCTCATGAATTTTTGTGTGCAAATTGGGTATGTTTGAGAATCGGACAACATCTATTTTTCACCCCCCTAAATTTTAAGGGGAGGTCCACCCCTATTTTTTAATTTTTAGATAAATTTTTTAATATTTATTTTTTTATGATACAACATTAAAAAATACATACAACCCCTAATTTTCACTTCTCTACGATCAACCGCTTATTTTTATTATAAATGATATACATGGCAAAACGACGTTTGGCGGATCAGCTAGTATAATATAAAATACGCAAAATAGAACAGAAGGGTAGACACAGATTCTTTAAAAGCGAGAATCATACATGTTGTGTGTATATTTTTTTTAATATTTAAGAACGATAAATGAAAAAAAACGGGCGGGAGTTTCGCCTGATGTTAAGTGTTACCGCCGCCAATGACACTCACATTGCCAGAGGGCTCACAAATGCGTTGTCGGCCTTTTAAGAATTAGTACACTCTTTTATTGAAAGACCCTAAATCGAATTAGTTCGCAAATGAATAGGCTGGTTCCACATATTGGTGGTGTGCGGAAAAAACTGCCTTTAAAAACGCTCAGTTGTGGAACGACGGACGTCGAGGTGATACGGGTGGAATTTCGTATTCTGTCTCGACATCCGACGATAAAACAATGAAATTACGAAATAATACACATAATTCAACCTTATATACTTATATAATATTTACCTGCGAGATAAATCACGCGGTACAAATATTGAAAGAACATTGCTTCTTCACTCCCGCAGTCCCGCACCGCGGTTGTTGGAGTTAATTTTATCCAAACCTTATGGAAGAGCCCCATGTCTTTGTAATAGATATTCTTGAAACGTATCTTTATAACGCTGCATATGCGTGGAGGGCGCAGCTCCATTGACAAATTCTTATCTATTATTAAAGGAACGGTGGCGTCTGTACAAACGCCGTAAACTCAAAATCTATGAAACGTATTACACAAATACGTATTGTGATTCAGGTTTAAATGTATAATTAATTACATTTTTATGTAAATTGACTGAAATATTACGATAATCTAAAAGTGATCACAAAATATCTTGCCGAAATTCACGACATAAAAAGAAGAAATGTGTAAAGCGAAGAAGTGGGGCTAGAACCTTCCAGATCCAGTCTGTTTTCTATCTGTTGCATGATTATTTGTTATTTTTCTAATAGACAACTAACTTATCGCCCTGTACCTTCACACTTCACTCACACCGACAACTTTTTCTATTCTAAGCGTACCAATTTTTAAAAGGCCGGCAATGCACTTGCGAGCTCTGTGGCAATGTATCTATGGGCGGCGGTATCACTAAACATCAGGTCTCCTGTTCGTTTTTCCCTTATTATATTTAAAAAGAAAACAGTTTTATAGAAAAAGCAATTCAGCAATGGTTTTTAGTCTCTCACCAATATTGCTATGGAGTGCTCAACATATCTAGTGTTTATATCCCTTAAAAAAGTTTAAATGTAATACTTATGTAACTAGACTAGTTTTTCAATGTATAAAATTGATTGACGTTTCCTTCAATAATGAACCACAAACACATGGAAATACATTTTAATAACACGATTACATGAGATTACATTTATAACAATTTACATTAATATTTACATAATATCATATTAGACAATACTTCACAAGCATTCAAAAGTTCAAAATCATTTCAGGTAATTATGGCATACAAGTTCATACAACACCTAAACTTAAATTCCCTGTCACCTACAGAATAAAGAAATAATACTAGCAGTTGTGCGACACTCACACATTCACTAATATTTCTATATATTCTAGAAAAACATACACAACATTTTATGTTTAGACAAAACAGAATCAGCGCGCAATACCTAAACTTTATATTATATTGACTATATATCGTTATATTATCCCCTTATCAATAGTGAAAGGCCCAAAACTAGGGATGTGAAAAAATAATCGATTATCAAAAAAATCGTTTTTTTTAAAGTAAAAATCGATTTAAAGAAATAACTTTTTACCGGATTAAAGTTATGTATTATTATAAATTTACAATTATTTAACATAATTTTAAATTTATCCGACGTTTCGCGTGCTTTACAGCGTGCGTGTGACCACTGATGCGGTGCGGTGACTGAAGACAAAAGGTGTTGGATGTCAAAAATCGATTTTTTTACGCGATTTTTATATTTAAAATAATCGATTATTTTTATAATTGAAAATCAATCATAGTCGATTTTTATCTGCCATCTCCCGACATTATGTCTGGTCTTTTATAACCCGGACCTCGAACTATTAGGGATATTCGATATACAACGATGTTTACAATGCGATACATTGAATCCGATTCTTTGAAGATACTCGATGATATACTCGATGCATTGATGTTTTTTTGTAAAACATCGAAAGGATGATAAAACCAGTTAATTTTACAAAAAATCAAGTTTGAATAGAACACTATAATTTAAAAGTAAAATACATTTATTCAGCAGCACAAGACTACATACAATTAAAAAGACAACAAAAATACTGCAATGAGCTACTGAAAAGGCATACATTCAGCATTTATTTAATTTCACCTAAAATCTATCAAAACGAGATTAAGTTAATTTCGATTTTGATTATTCTTAAACGTTAATTTGTGTTTATAATTTCTATTGTTTATTTTTAATTTAAAAAACCATGAAAAATAAAATATTTAGGGTGTTTATTTTGAAATTAATTCAAAAATTAGGAAAAAATCGATTAATAAAAAATCTATTTTTTATGCAGAATGTCACATCCCTACCCAAAACTAACAAATTGCAACCTCGCACTGATTGGTTGAAATAAAGCGCAGAATGTTACAGATATGAAAAATTTTGACATACAATAATCGCGACACAGACTACGCTGTTTACATTTTCATATTTCGTTAAACTTCACTTTCAAAATGACATTTATGATAGTGCTAATTGTCAAAATTGTCATGACAAGACAAGTTCTAAAATTAGTATAACTATGTCCTATCTGTAGTAGATGAAATATCCTAAAAACAAGTATGGGTTATACAATTGAATTATCTGACTATACGAAACACTATGTTAAATAAAATGATTCCACAATTTATTTCTACAAAATTTAAACAATTATAATAAAGGATATGAAAACCTTTTTGAGATTGCCAAACAAGTCGAATGTTACATACGAGTAGATAGATACCTTAAATATAAAACTTACAAGAATAAATTAAGATTAACAGATACGAACTAATTATCTATATATAATTAATAAACAACAGAGATAATACAAACTTTTACTTTATATTATTTTATTATTAAATGTATTATTGAAACCTTAGATTACATTTGGCATATTAATGTTCAAACACATTGATTTCACTTTCTTAATTCATCTATTATTATCCTCGTCACACAAACTAAATAAAACCAACCACCTTTATTTAAAATCTGCATGTTAGTAACACTTACAAAACTACATTATATTAAAATTCTTAATGGCGCGTCTAAACGGGCCATGTTTTGCTGCAATTGATGGCTGCACTGTTGGCCACTAATTGCCCGGCCATTACAAAAATATTTTAATGCAGCTGATGGCCGAACAATCTATGGCTGGGCAATGTGTTGCAATTGTATGGCCCATGATGCAGACTCCTAAACGGGCTACACAAACCGGCAACAATGGCTGACGAAATCACACTTGTCGCAGCAGCTTATATTGTTTTAAAAAAGAAACAGAAAAAGAAGAGATTGTGGATTCGACCTTACTTAAATAGGCGTGAAACTGTAGACAATTTGAGTCTAGAAATAAGTCTTGATAATAAATTATTCAAGAACTAGAATGTCAAAAGTAGTAATTTTTACGTAGTAATCTAACGTCAAATACAGCTGATCGCAAAACACAGAATAAAGCAACAGGCACACTTCACTCAAAGCAAACGTCATGTCGCGTAGAAAAGGATACACTATGCCATAACAAAGAGAGTGACTGAAACAACAAGAGAACTGCTGTGCAATATTGCAGTTGAATTCGATAGCCTTGGGGGGGGTTTCCCCCCCCCCCCCGGGGGCAACATCGGGCATATGTGGCTATACAAAACATGTTTGGCTATATGGCCGGGACATTACTGCAATATTGCATAGTGTGGCTGCTATTGTTTGCAATGTTGCCGGCCACAGTGTTGCAGCCATCAATTGCAGCAAAACATGGCCCGTTTAGACGCGCCATAATACAAATAAGCACGCGATTCTCTAAAGTATAAACCAATATTAGCGAGTACATAAATGAACACGAAACAAGCCCGTAAAATTTCCTTAATATTTAAATATATTAAGGAAATCGCCGTACTTGTAATGATTTCTGCTTATCTTGTATACCAGTGGCGGTTTTACAAATTTTCAAGGTAAGGCTGTGAAGTTTTTTGCCGCCCTTGTCTCTCTCTCACAATTGTCAAGCCCAAGATTATTTTTACAATCCAACAATTTCGTTGAAATTGCACGTAATGTTATTGGGTTTGACTTTGTACAATCCATCCAGTTCGCAGCCTCTAACCAGTAGTAGGACTGACACGTATGGGTTGATAGAGGGGTTAGGGGAAGGGGGGAAACACATTTTCTGCAATTTCGCTCTTTTCACTCATAGTGTGAGCTGGTGCAGAGGTCTATTACTGGTTGGTGCTGCTTTACTCAAGAATATGGAAGCTTGCTACACCAAATGTACAAGTGATAGGGGGAATACATATTTTGCAGTCTACTATCTGTTAAACAGCTAAAAACCGTTATGCAGGTAGCAAAAAAAATCGCTTCCCAAATTTGCCACCCTAGGCTTCAGCCTACTGGTAAATCCGCCACTGATTTCTATGATCGTGATGCTGCATCACGATCATAGAAATCAATAATCCGTAACGAAGGTTACATATATACAAATATCCCTATAATTCTACCTAAAGTACATACAAATTCATGATAACCAGTGAGATCCAGAAATTTAACCATATGACACATAGAGATTCAGATTAGAGCTCCAAATAGGTAATTTTAGTTGCTGTAATAGCAGCAGCACCAGCTAAAGAGGCTGCTACACCGACCACAGCCGCCGTGGACCCAGTCAGCTTCAAAGCGAAGCCCATAATAAATGAAATAAGAAGCTGGGCGACGAAAACACAACTGCTGATCACAGCAACATCTGTACCGATACCTCGCTCTTCACCGCAGCCACCTCCTTCGCTATCCCACTGTAAAGTAAATACACTGTTAATCCCTTAGATTTAGACTATTTTCTATCACACGATAAAAATCCTATCTAAACTTTATTATACTCAGGATTTTCTTTGTAGAAAACACTTTTTTGCCAAGTCTTTGAATAAGAGATCTTTCGAAGGTACAAGAAACATTTATTAAGTGTTAAGTCTGACTCCTAAACGTCAAAAATGTATTGAATTTTACGGGAGTAGATAGTTCGCGCTAAGTCTTGATTCTGAGGCCCTCATTAAATTAACTCCAATTATATATCAAAAACTACGCAACTTAGGTACGATATTTAATGCCTAGTTGCTTAACGACTGATATTAATTTTTAACTACTTTAATAATTGTAATTTACTATTGGCAGGTATTAAAGCTTAAATAAAATTTGTTATTTTTTTTGTTTTTTTTTGTATCATATATTCGAGTACATTAAGCTGGCGTAAAAGTTAGTGTATCCAATATATATGTATATGTTAATTACACATATTGTAATTCAAAAATAGGTAGGTAAACTTGTGCATAACAAAGTGTTTGTAAGCTTTTATTCCAAAGCTCGTTAGCTGAGAAACAATTAAATTGCATTAAGTTTTGTGTAACAATGGAAACGCTTACAATAGACCATTAATTAGCACAAGACATTTAATTACAAACCGTTAATCACTTGTAAATCTGTTTGAAGTCGCTATTATAAATAAGGTGTTGAATTCATGAAGGATTCTTTGAAGTAAATTTCAGAATACTCAAAATCATTTAGTAAATTCACTTCTTCCTCTATCCGCTGAGCTCACTCTATCTTCCTTTAAATTGCAAGCGTTAAACATAAATTAGAAATTATCGTGAATCCTGTGTCCTTTATATTTATTTTTGTTATTTATCTTTTACTTTTGAATGTTTAAGGTATTGAATATTATTTGTATCCATTTGTCTATGTTATTAATTGATTGTGCCTTACAGTCTGGATGAGAGCTCTCGTAAGCCCGTTTACCTTATAATAATAATTGGATTTCAGAGTGTGGAACCAGCTTCCGAACCAATTCAACTTAGCGTCACTGTAGAATGATAACCTCGTATAACAAAAAAACATTTATTTTTATTCTTAGACTCTTATGTCATTTAACTGGTATAATCATCAAGTAAGGACTTATTGCCATCTGAAACTATGGACAAAAACACATATTTATTTACGAACATTGACGAAATGAAACATTTTTTCCGGTTCCTGTAATGTTTGGTTCTCTGGCTATACGAGGTTATCATTCTACAGCGATCTTAGGGTCCTTCAACAAAAGAGCGTACCGATTCTTAAAAGGCTAGAAACACACTTGCCCTATGGCATTGAGAGTGTCCATGGGCGGTGGTATCACTTAACATCATCACTAATTAACCACTGTTCTGTCTTTAAGCCTAACATTATTATTCATTTTATTTATTACAAATTATTATTTACCATTCCTGTTGCATGGTAGTGCGCGACCAGGAGGTAGGGCATCGTGAAAAGCGTAGAGTACATGATACCAGCTGTCCAGCTGAACAGGAGCACTGCTGTTTGGGTCCTCAAGATGCAGAGGAGCATCATGCCACAGCTGTAGGTACACAGGCCTCCGACGTAGACTCTTTTAGCGCTGTAAAATAAATCACTCTATTTAGTATACAATTTTTTATTTCAAGATATTGATAGACAAAATAAAATTGATTCAGAAGTGAGAAAGGTTTCTTGCAGACGTGATAATAATAAAACAATTATTTACGATCATTTCTGTTGTTTTTTTTTATTATCATTGTCTTATTTTATTTACTAGTGTTGTAAAAACTTATATTGTGGTATTAATTCAATATAATTAGCGATTTGGTTTGAACTTTAAATGACGATAGCCTTTACTGAAGGCTCCCTAATTTTATTCAAAAATGTTCTCGATTAGAAGATTAAGTTATTAATCTATGTAATTAATTATATTAATATCTCCCGGTATTTAATAATCGATTGAAAAGACAAGTCGTAAATACTGCAACAAAGTTTATAACATTCGCCTGACTAAACAGACGTAATAAAAAAACATTGCTAATTAAATTACGTCAGGCGCTAAAATTGTTAGCGTCTTAGAAGCCGCATAATGTCTTTAATGAAAGTCAAGTTCCAAGGGTTATGTCATTACAATACTGCGACCAGGGACAAGGTTATACTTTTATAGATTAAATAGTTTTAAACAGTAGCTATAAGAATGTAAATATTTTAATAAAAATTAAAGATATTTATTAAATCGTCTATAGGGAAGTTGAGTCTAATAATTGATCAAGGATTTATGAATTGAATATAGTAAATATATAATAGAGAGATATTTTTTGTGTTATTATCTACAACAATACAAAATTATTAGTTTAAAATATTTTTGTTTTGTTACATGTGATATCGATTATTAAAACGTCCAATGTCACAATGAAGCCAAACTTAGTATCAGCCTACTTTGTAAGGTTTCCAAATCTAAATAATCCATAAAAGCAATTAATAGTACATAAATAGGCTTATTTAATTAAAGTATGAGTTATTAAATCACAATGGAACGCACTAATATACACACATAAGCAAGACCGAAGCAGACCCATTTGGTATAGTTACGCCTCTGGATAATGTTATCGTTGAATAACGAGATAAACTTACCCAAACTTCTTAATCAGTTTCTCAATAACAGTTGAATAGCAAGCACAAGATAGAGAGTACATCGCCATCCCCCAGCAGCCGAAGCGAACGCCAGCTTCATAGTTTGTTCTACTTTCTGTACCGACTGGCGCCTGAAAGATTATAATAGCAATTACACATAAAAGCTGAATGCGAACTGTTTTGAGCAAAATATAAAAAAAATCATGTTAATAATGTTTTTATTTATTTTATTTACTCAAAATATAATAAAATAAATCAAATTACTGGTTTACTATAAAGATTAATTTACCGGCCCACAGTTTTTTTAAGCCACTTTCCACTGTACCTAAATAGGCAATGTCGTTAACTACCTACTTGAAACAAGTTTATTGAAATAGATAAAAAATTAACTATATACTTAGATAATATGTTATTTCAGAATACTTTTGGAATTTAGTTACTAGGTACTCAATCCTTTCTATGGATTGCATTCTTTAAGAATTAGGTAATATTTCTATTATTAGCAAGAGTTTTAATCTATAACACTTTATCTTTGATGACACTATAGAAATTTCCCTATCATGATTGATCGGGCAAAAGTTAAGTTCCATTGGGTTTTTTGCGAGGATAATATAATTTCACAAAAATATCAACAATTTCTAAATGATTTAATGGAGCGATATGCTCACAAGTCTTCTGAGTGCTATCGGAGCAATCTTTTTTTTTTTGCTATCGGAGCAATCTATAGCAAACTTCATTAACATCCCTCTAACGGTTTGTGCGAACGATTCATTTTAAGCGACATCAAAATACGTATTCATTTATAATCCATAAATTATTTGTGTGAAGATATTCTTTTCTGCTTTTGTTATTTTAATCATTTGCTATTTTAAAATGGTAATGTGTGTATTTTTTTGTATATATACTCTTATGTAATACAAGTCAGTAGTATTGTTGGTGATTGTATTATTTTTAATTGTTCGCATTATTTTGTGGCTACTAAATTATTCAATTCGAATATGTCCCACAGGTATATGTCATATTTGAGTACTTTTGCTAGTACATAATACTATGTCAAACTAAAGTATACTTATTCTCTTTTGACATCTGACAAATAAAGGTTCATCCGAAGCTGGGGAGCCAGGGTTTAATGTCGAAAGCTTTTCGAGTTCCTCCTTACAAAAAATTATTAACATTAAAATTAATCTTACGTATTTATAACGATGGCGGACGACCACCAGGGACCGTACTGATCCACAAGAGATAACCCGGTATACCGAGGATGCGTTGGTAGATGAAGTTGTCAAGGACCTTGAAACAATAAGTGATCGAAGTCGGACGCAAGAAGAACGAGATAGATTATAATGACTAAATATACTTGGAGGCTAAGGGGCTGTATCCATTTATAATGATGTTGGTTTAATTATCTAGCGTGACAAGTTATTGTTATTTACGTTTCCTCAGTTACCTTATATCTATAAATAACTTTGAACGTAACATAATATAGACTATATAATCTTGAAGTCAACAAGTATTTCACACAATGACTAAGACTTATCTGATTGCGTGAAGTTCTGTGATGATCTTCTTAATCCCCTACTAATACTTGTTCTGAGTCACAATTATTATAAATCCTTAGCAGAAAATGTATACTTTTACTAGCTGACCCGGCAAACGTTATTTTGCCATGTATATTATTTCTAGGAAACATTTATTTAGGTCAATATAAATAACTATCTACTATACCTACAAAAAAATGGGGGTTGATCGTAAAGAGGTGAAAATTAGGGGTTGTATGTATTTTTATATACTGTATCATACAAAAATACATATAACCCCTAATTTAGGCCTGGGACCAACCTTAACGTTTCGGAGGAGTATGGGAACGAACATTGTGACACGAGAATTTTATATATTAGATGATTTGCACAGATGACTGATAATTAACGTAAAACTATTTCTTCAATTCTACGGTTTTTTCTTGTTGGAGGAATATCCGCGGTGATCTCAGCTACGTCATTATCTTTCTACTGCTCCGCCTAGTGTTATTCAAAAAATAGATGGAGCGTCTAGGATGAATCCTAGGTTTACAAGACGCCGAGTAACTGGAGGTTTGGAGCGTGACATTTTAAGGCCCCGGTAGAATGCGTGAGCGACCCTGGGGCCTCTGTAACGCGGCGTTGTAGGAGTCGAGTAGTTTGCGGTGGTTTTAGTAGGTAATGCTCACCCAGTCTCTGGATAGCAGGGATTTGAAAATCTGGCAACGCACTCTTAACTTGGCAATGCCAAAAATACATATTACTTACAGCTGGATTTCCACCATACACAGCTTCGCCGACGAAGTCTGTGAAGTACAACGAATAGCAGACATGCGCCATCCAGCAGAATAGATTAGTCAAACAAACGACTCTCATAGACTTGGGCATCATGACTATGGACCTCAGATAGTGTTTTAAGGAAAGAGGCTCGCCGTGGCCTTCAGGTATTGCTATTCCATTTGGAGCTGGTGGCTCTGGAGCCTGGAATAGAGAATAGTAAAATGCAAAATCAAAATCAAAATATTTGTTCATGTATACCGTCAAAAAGAATATGTATTAAAAAATGTTCCTAAATTTATATTTACTGACAGGTCTGAAATTATTTTATCGACTTTGATGTCCTGCAAAAACTGGTAATAATATTGCATATCGCTCGCCCCGGGGTGCAAAGTCGTAAAACGACTCATTGGTCTAGTGGTTACTCGGTCAATTGGTGTGTATTGTCTTTAAAAAAAAAATCGAATTTTTGACTACCGTGGGTACTATTACTGTATTTCAGAATTTATACAAAACATTTTACTATAAAAAATCACGAGGATATCTTTTCGAGGATTCTAAGGAATTTTTTTGTGCAATATTAGAAATACCCGTTTATCTCATTTTACCTTCTCTGAAATTGATCGCAACAACCATACTCGTAAAGGTAGTTTTAGCTTAGATTTTAATTTTACCAAATAAACTTTAAAAGTTTATGCGACAGCATAAAAACAAATGAAGAGTGGTAATAATATATTATCTCTGTTTCACCAAGGTCATATTATTTCCGCGAAGAGTGGTAATAGATTTTGAACATTCGTCAAAATGTGCCATCGTAATGTGCGGTTACTGTGTCGTCCGTAATTATGTTTAAACAGTGAAACAATCGTTTTTGCTCTTCAGTCTAATTAGATGAAATACTGTAATGTAAATTTCGTTATTTTTTAACTATTTACACAAAATACATAACAACAATGTTTAAATTGTCAAATAGGAAAAAAAGCTTTAATTTCACATGTATTTTGTATAATTGTAATGTAGTTAGTATCCTAGTAATAATATCACTACCTTCTTTTTATATCCTGAAAAAATAGATTTTGCTTTTACGACTTTGTTGAGGCAAGCGCTATGTTAAGAATAAACTAAAAACTTGTCTATTAAAATATGTATTTATTAGAAATATTCAATTCCAGCCCATAAAAAAAAAAAAAAAAAAAAAAAAAAACAAAAAAAACCCACCACACCCCCCCGGGCGCCCCCCCCCCCCCGGCCCCCCCCCCCCCCCAAACCGGCGGGCGGGGGGGGGGGGGGGGGGCGGCGGGGGGGGGGGGGGGGGGGGGGGGGGGGGGGGGGGGCCCCCCCCCCCCCCCTCCCCCCCCCCCCCGCGCGGGGGGGTTTTTGTTTTGGGGGGGGGCCCGGGGGGGAAACATTTAGGCACGGGGGGGGAAAAAAAAATGGGGGGGGGGGGGAAGGGGTTTGGGGCTTTGGGTTTTTTTTTGGGGGTATCGCCCATAAATATACAGTATTATTTTTAACAAATATTAAAAAAATATAAATAGAAAACTAAAACGTTATAAAAATAAATATATTTATTCATTTCCCACCCTAATGCAACAAGTATCTGCAATAATATGAAAAGAAATACCGAAATAACCCTTTTTGTCTTGTTTTAATTATGGTCGATTTAGGAAATACACAATGCCCATACATGAAAAAACATCCAGTTTTCATATTTACCTCAGAGCCTTCCAACGTTCCATAAGTTGAACAATCCCTCATCAAACCTTCCTCTTCAAGAGTCCCATAGCTGGACACATCTTTTCTCAGATTATCTCTTTCAAATTGTTCCTGATCAGGCGGAGATTTTGATGTTTCAGTACTCTTTTTAAACTCGTCATATTGGTGCAACTCTTCCAATGGTATTTCTTTAAAACTACTGACAGTGGCTGATACACAGATCACGAAAATTATTGTGATCAATGAGAATACTGCTCTCACGTGGCCACCGAAGAAGTCTCCTGTAAATATATATGTATATGTATATGTATGGGTAACAACATCCCTAATGCACTGAGACATATATCGGTTAGGGCTTTTCAAGACAGGCACCTCATTCAGTAAAGAAGACTACAGATGAAGAAAAAGTGCGTGCGTACAAAGTACACATGTCGGAAGTGAAACTTAAGCAAACAAATTTTTAAGTCTTGTTCATATTTCTACAAATCTAAAACTTAGTTTTCCGAGACTTAGAGGGAAGGAAAAAGGAAGATACGTTAGGAATTTAATGAATTTAATTGTCATTAAAATATTAAGTTTCGAAAGTTAATACAAATTATAAATTTAATGTATTTAATTTGTTTATTCGATAATAAAAACACGTGGCGTTTTAATTAACAATTCGTCAATTGAGATTTCAAACTAATTATTTTGCATAAAATATAAAATACTAATATTTCATAAATTCTCTTGAAATTTTAATTTTAAAAATATTATTTCTATAAGGTAATTCGTCCTTCTCATTCTCTCTCGATCAGTTTTAATCACTCCCTTTTCTTAAACAAAAACGCTGCACATCTTCGTGACGCTAATATTATTATTATTGTTTTTCATCCGTAAAAATTTTACCCTCATGCGCCTAAAGAAGTTTCACTTGAAAAGTGTAACAATATTAAAATAATATAAATTCAAAATAGGATATCGAATACAACACAGGTTATTGTCATATTATCACTCTGTGTATGTATAAGTTTACTCTATGATGATTAGGTTGCGTTAGATTCAATACGTCATAAAAAATAGACTTTGACTGGGTGACCACTTAACGCGATTGCTAGATCAGCTTGTAATTGCTATGTTTTATATTTTGGTCAGTTTCTATTTAAAAAAAACCTGGTCTAATCCATGCACAGAACGCTATAATAATATTGTTATTGTCAAAAACGTCAGTTGTCAAACAAAACGACAAAATTAAATTAATTTTTAACATAAATATTTTTAAATCGTGTCGTTTACTATTAAAAAGTCACGATTTTCCACGTTTCTCAATCATTTTACCTAGAGTGGTTTCATCCCAATTTATTCCGCCAAGCGCGTATCCCATGAAGCCTCCCAAACCAGCCATTATTGTGAAAGTACTCAAGCCCCTAGCGTGGTCCTCTGAAATAAAAAGATACGGTTATACAATCATTCATTACCTGTGCTTTAGAGACAACCTCTTTAAGGCTTAACTGTAAAGTTGTTAGCTGAGAATGTATCCCATACCCACCCATAATCTGCCCGCAAAACTCTGTAATCTCCTAGAAACATTTTGAAACACAATATGCAAGGATAATAGCGAGAACGTTACGATTGGTCTAGAGTTCCTAGATGTAATGCTGATACCGTGCAACACTTCAGCGGGGGAACAGGGGTTCATGCGTCCTAAAGAAGGGTTGCTGGCACATCCCTGCAAACATTGTACCCGACCTCCCCCAGCTTTACAAATCAAGGCTAATCGGCCGATGTGTGAAGGCCATTCCACATCATTCGTGGCTATAGAGGACCGTGATTTCATCGGCTGATCGCGTGGCGGGATGCGGACAAGGCTACGCTGTTACCGTGCTCTGCCTCGGAAGATTGCTGGTGGCGCCGTGGGGTTATAGTGGGTATGCACAGCAGCGAGTCCCACATAACCCTTCAACACGAGGCAGCCGTGCCGCGTAACGCATTTCCCCACGAAAAAAATAATGTAATGCTAATAATGATGACGAAAGTCCTAAATAAAATACTCAAACTTCTTATTATATTTTCTAAATAATTCCCTTGTCTACCAATCAATCTATCAATAAGTTTCATCCCAATTCAAGTATAGATAGTAATCTAATTCTAATAAATTACAATTAAATATGGCGATGGTTCGATTTCTAAACTATCATTGCACCGTTTGGTTTTTCTCAAAGGATTTTTAAACATATACAGATACCGGCAAACATCTTGAACAAATGTTCTTGTCTGCACAGCGATTTTTAGGTATCAGGTAGGGAGGAGGCGGCGGGCGGTGGTGCGCAGCGGCGGGAGAGTGACGTGTCGATCGCGTGATTGGTAAATCAGTTGACGTTTGTGTCCCGCGATGCGCAAACTTTCCCCCACTGCCTTGTTTAATGCTCAAGAAGTTTGCCGGAATCTGTATCATAAATCAATCGACCGATCGAATCAAGTAAAATTAACATATTTTTGCCAATTTTGTTAAAAAGGAACAAAACTAGACTGACTTGAGTCCAACGGGCTCTCACTTTTATACAATTTCTTTCAGAAGAACTTTTTCAACCTGAAAATAGCGAAGAATAGAAATAGCAAGAATCGTCAACGTACCGGTGTTAATCATAAAAATTATAAATTGTTGCAAAAAGTTTTTATTGCAATATATTTGACAATGTCTATCCGGTCACTTGGCTAATAAAAGTTATTAACGTATATATTAATAGCCCCTTGAGATTAATCTCAACATGAATGAAAGTACATACAACATTATATAAGGCTTATTATCCGTTCAATCTTAGCGCTAAGCTAATAATATCTCTACGTCATACAAAATTACACTGAAGATAAGCTGAATATGTTATTGCACTATCGGTTATATTTAAAGATTTTCAGGTTTTTGAAATCAAATTTGTAGGTAATAAGGGAGGTATATATACTGTACGTATATAGTTCTTATAAATGTTATGTGATGTTGATATTTTCCACCATACCAAAGTTGTGAGGAAATTCAAATTCAAATTTAAAAATCATTTACTCATATAGGTAACAAAATGTACACGTCAAACAATAAATATAATATATGAAATGCTTCTAATTTTACATTTACTGCCAGTTCTCAAATCAAGGGCGTAGAACGGAAGAGAAGGACTGGCAATAAACTCTCCTCCACTATTTTTAATCGCCATAGTTTTTTTTTTGGTAAGTAGCTGCAACCATTTTTTTTTTAATTTTTTTTTTTTAATTCACACCAATTGACCTAGTCCCATGCTAAGCTGGTGAAACTTGTGTTATGGGTACTAGGCAACGGATATACATACATATTATAGATAGATAGACATATAAATACATATTTAAACACCCAAGGCCAAGACCTAAGCACAACACCAAATGCTCATCACATCGATATTCGTCTCAGCCGGGGATCGAACCCGGGACCCATGGATTCGCAGTCAGGGGTACTAACCACTAGACCAATGAGACGTCAACCATTACATAAATGTGGAATATACCACATGATATCTTAAGTAATTTATAGTTAATTAATAACAATAAAATAAATCAAAAACAAAGATTTGTCCTCTATCAGCAGGAGGCATGGTGAAATAGGAGCACGCACTGACATTCTCGTGGGTACAACACGCAATATTTTAAGAAGCGGGAAATTTTGACGATATTTAGCAGTAGTAACAATTTAGTTTTATCTTTAAAATATTGAGTTCTCGCTTGTTTAAGGTACATACTTTGTTTTTCAATGTAATCTGTTTTGGTTTTGTGTATTGACTAAATTGTTTACTTTTATATGGATATGTTAGCTTTAAGATTACTTATAAATAAATAAAAGAACGTGTGTGTACTTATGTACACTCGTTAGAAGCTATACTTCTTTGGCGTAACAAGATTTTATCTTTTTACAAAATTTTTATCTTTCGCCTTATTCTACACGTTGACTATAGCTAATTTCAGGGTGTCGATTTTTTGTGACGGTGTGCGCGCGCATCGTAAAAATTTACTCTCATCATTTTCGTTGTAAATGTACTGTAAATGTAAATGTACTTCATCAGTTCTATATTAAAATATTAGTTGTTCATCGTCAATAATTAATAAATAATTCCAAATACACATTTGATGCCAAATTTACAATCAAGGGCTAAGAGCAGACGAGAAGAACCTCTCCGTCACTATGCCCATAAATCCAAATGGGTACTTGATGGGATGGTTTTTAGTTCAAAGAGTATAGTTACAAGTACATTTTGTTATGTATGTCGTTCAACCAAACATTGTAAGTATTTTTAAAATAATATAAGACAGCTATTTCATATTATATTGTTAAGCGATATGTCAACTTAGTCAACATTCTAGAATGTGTTTTTTATAAGTATTTGTTATATCAAGTGTGTTTTGTATAATGTACTTATTAAGATTGATTAAAATAAAATGTTAAGTATGGTCGCTATACAGCCAGGGGTTTTCTTCTTTCGTTGCTATCCAATTATCAATAAAACAGTATAGGTATGGGTAAAGGAAATTAAATCCGAGTTTGGGCCATTGCTGATTAAAGTGAGTGTGTTTTTACTTATTTTATATACATATATACGTTAATATGTGTGTGTGTGTGTGTGTGTGTGTGTGCTTTAATCAAATAAATGTTTTTTCTTTCAAAATGGTATAAACTATTAAACGATAACATTATTCTCATGTATATCATACATATTAATACATACATACACATACATATATTATAGTTAAATACATACATATGTATTTATTAATATGCAAATTGTTTTGGGTAAAATATATTCCAAATGCTTATCAATGATAAATATCCGTACGGAAAATACCAAAATAATTCAAGATAAATCAATCACTGCGAAAGAAAAGAGATAGAGTTGTGTTGAAAACGGTAAGCACAGTATATTTCGTACAGTGGATTACGAATTACTACACTATTTTGTTAATAAAAGATCGTATATAAAGTCAGTGCTTCTAACATTAACACCTAAGAGAGCCTCGGAAGGTTTTATTCATTTCTCTACGAATTGAACTGACAATAAACTCTCCGCCACTCTTTTTTAATCGCCAAGTTTTTTTTGTTTTACTCAACGTTTGTAAGGACCTACAACCATTACACCATGTTCCACATGACATCTTAAGTAATTAATAATTAATAATAATGAATTAAAAACAAAGATTTGTCCTCTTGCGCATATCCAAAGAATAATTGGTCATGTATTTTAATCATTATCAACACTGTCAGTACAGCTTATTAATTACAGACAAAAGGACCAACTGTTTGCTGAAAAACTGCACTAAAACAATACACAATCGCATAGTGTGACGCTAAAGCTAAACAAAACACTACCTATGTCTTTTAAATTGGGTTAAGGATAGCAATGTTTCTGAAAAACGATAATACTAATTAAATATTGTAATAACATGGTTATTCTATTATTCAAATTTAATTTTCAGGTCGACAACTAAGGTAACACATAAATGTTGTCTAATTTGCAAATCCTACGCCAAACAGATTATGTTAAGACAAAGCTTATTACGCCGTAATTATAATTCAGAGCTGTGTTGGCGTAGCTTCAGTGTGTAATTCTCATCCCTGAGGTCGTATGTTAGATCCAGCGAATTTAACATTCGCTCGAACGGTGAAGGAAAACATCGTGAGAAAACCGGCTTGCCTTAGACCCAAAAAGTGTGCGTGTGTCAGAAAGAGGAGGCTGTTCACCTATCATGAAACAGATACAGAAAGAGGCCTAGATCTAAAAAGGCTGTAGTACTACTAATTTTTTTTATAATTTAGTATACCTACTTATTGTAATGTCTATAAACTATGTAGAAATTATTTTTCGTTTCTCTGTATTGATATTTTACTTTTTAAATAAACTGACAATAGTCTACTGCTTTGCACTATCAAATAGTACAACATCATTTTATGTAATCGTTAAGACAAAGATCTTTTTGACATAATAAGTCGTTAGATATAGTAATCCATCTAGACACTTAAATATTTCTTCCGATAGAAAAATATCTATGATTTTTTATTGAATAAGTATTCCTAAACCTACATCGTACTCACGAACATACCCTGGGTACACTTGGTAGAACATGTGCTTATTTTATTTTTTATTTTATTTTATTTTTACATTTAAGGAACAGAAACAGAAAACAGATTGGTGAAATACATATAGTTATTACACACTAAGCAACATTTGTAAACCTGAATTTCCAATTATATCTGTACACAGCATTTTAGTGGAATCTTCAGTGCTGGTTTACCAAATATTAACAATTAAATACAGTATATAATATGTACATATATTAAACTTAATGACAAAAAAAAATAGAAAAATTTAATGACAAAAAAGAAAATTAAGTTATTCTGGTTGCAAGTCTGCACCGCGAATAATCTTTCTAAATTCATAACTACTATTGTGAAAAATATCAACATGAGAACACACAGAATTATAATACTTGCACATTCTAGCGAGCGGACCATTCTGGGATACATTGTTGTTACTTGTGGGTATCATAAATAGTTGCGGCTTACGCACAGAACGCGTCGGTACCTTGATGTCAAGTTCATCCAAAAGATAGCTGTCAAGTGAGCCATTTGCTATTTTATGCAAAGTGCACAGGTCGCTCATCCATCTTCTCTTTTCAAGACTTACAATCTGAAAGTGGGCAAGACGCTGGTCATATTGCTTTAATTTGCGCCTAAGACCATACTTTGAGCATAAAGCTCTAACAAACCGCCTTTGTATAGATTCTAATCTATCTGTATGAACTTTGTATATCGGGGCCCATACAATATATACATAACCTGATGTTAAGTGATACAGCCGCCCATGGACACTCTCAATGCCAGAGGGCTCGCGAGTACGTTGCCGGCGATTTAACAACCCTAAGTTGAACAAAACACTATCACAAGAACAGCCACCAAAAGCTTCACTGACGACACAATTCAATTAATCCTCGAAAATGAAGGGTAACTATTTGGCCCTACTCGGGAATCGAATCCAAGACCACATGATCTATAATAACATACTAGCCACTTGAAACGGCAATAATATAACTAAATATGTACGATTTTCTCTTTTTTATCTTAAGTCTCCATTTTTGTGAATATTTTATTTAAATTTTATCAAGATAACTCTATATACAGATATAGCTTGACAACAATTCTTTTATAGAACGCATAAGTCTTAAATGACACAGGAATATTCAAATGTGATCAATCATAATGATAAAGTCAGATTCCTTAAACTATCTCACATTGTTAAATCATTTGTGTTTAGAAAGAAGATTCTATTGTTTCTATAAGGATTGTAAAGGGAGTTGTTCTCTTCCTCTAACTTAAGAATGGATCCTGGACCAGTCCACTACTAACTGGACGGCGCTAAGGGCCACCGTGGTGGTGGTTTTTTATTAATTATTTAGATAGGAATCACACTGTTGGGTAGACGTGCATTGACACAGCTCGGGCCATAGTTCAAAGCTTTTAAAGCGTCCACAAACCAGCATAACATTTTTATATAATATATAGATTGTGTTTTGTAACAGATTAAAGAAATCATCGACCGAATTATTATTTTACCATAACAATGCTACAATAAAAGTGACACAAGCTATATCTATTTCCCAAATATATATATATATATATTATTTGGGAAATCCCTATGCTTATCGTAGACATGATTTTTATACCAGTTCTTACCACTTAAGAATAACTCTGTTTGAACTTCCAGCTTATGTTCTGCTCTGGTTTTCGCACATGATGCACGACACTAAATTATCAAAGGTTGATGGGCAAAGGTTGGTTAGAGCTTTATTTAGAAATATTTAAGGTAAACTCTGGTTGTTCGCGATGCCTCGGCAGCAATTGCATTGCTATAAATTGATGGTAGGCTTGTGGATTTTTATCAATCTAACCGCCTTACAATAACGGAAAAACAAAGATTTTGGCGTTCAGCACATTTCTATTTAGATCTTAACTTGAAAAAGTTCAGATTACTTCAATAATTTTAATTTTCCTTATATATTATATGTTAACCACTAAATCAAATATGAAGTCACGCGTCTGTTGTTTTTTTAAATTGATAAGCACGTGCTCTATTTTATCAATATGTATGAGAAATAAATCCTTCTTGTCGGCAAGAGTATCTGCGTATCACGACTGGGGCGCTCTCGTCATTACTTCTAAATAAGTTATTGTTCTTGCACGATTAATAGGAACTATATATACGTAAGGATTTAGTCAGAATTAGCGCTATTCCGACAATATTATATTGATTTAACAAAAGGGGGTCTTATAATATAATACTTGTAATATACAACGATTTAGATGTATTATTCTGTAAAATAAATAAAAAAAACTTAGGACTAAGTCTCGACTGTACGGATTAATTCTTTTGTTTATTCAAATACGCCCACGGAGCGCTTCTCAAGTTTGTCATACCAACAATATCAATTTAATTATTAAAAATATTTTACATAAATAGGTACTGACATGAGTTTCATTTGTTTTTAGTTTTTATCAAACAAAAGTAATTACTGAAGTGATCAACATATCTAGTTTATGTGCAAATTAATTTGTACTTAATATGCTAATTACAATTTCTTTATATATATTGACGGTTCCAAGCAATTGTAACTGTTGTATATAATGTATATCAAGTAATATCAAAATGCAGAAGAACAAAGAAATGCTTATGACAGCTAAGAGACGAATACTTGAGTATTTAGGATATGTTTTACGTAACACCAAAAAATACGAGCTTTTCTAATCATACAAGACGAAGTGGCAGGTAGAAGGAGACCTGGCCGCAGACGCACGTCTTGGTACTAAGTTTAGAAGCGCGGCATCAACAATTAAACTAACCATGATAATCGCCAACCTTCGCAAGGAGATGGCACTATAAGATCGAAATAAAAGTTTCTAATTTCTATCTGTTAATTTTCTATTATACACTGCTAAGTTATAAACATTTAAATGAAAAAACATTTAAAATGTTTTAAGAGTCAGATATATTTTTGCGTTTGTTACAATGAACATCTTAATAGATAAGTATTTATGTGTTTGGTATTATGGCGAGGTTCTACAATATTGATTTTCATTTCAATATTAGGTTATCGTATTGAATTTAATTTTTGTTTTTTAATGTATAGTTTATTCTTTAAGCACAGCATAATACAGTATTTTCAATTTTCTTATACTTTCTTTCAAAGTTTAGGATTCGTCGTAGCCTTTTTATTAGCCCTAATGTCACTTAGATAATTATTGAATCAAACCATGATATCGCCATTGAAGTTTGTTTGTCTAATTAGGTTTGTCTTGTATTTGTCGTACTTCTAATATCTGCAATATTTGTTCCTTTATAAAATACAAATTGTCGTATAACTTTCTGGATAATATCGCTCGTTAAGGATAATTAACTCATAAATAACGATTTTATTATATGAATTATTTGTTTTATTATTATTCTAATCAGAGCCTTAGAGACTGTTCTATTTTCTATGAATACCATCGGGAGCAAACAACCTATATGGCGTTGAGGCATTTGCTACCGCGGCTTATAAATGGACTACCAAGTCAGTTATTAGATAGTCTAACGTAAAAAAAAAATCAATGGCGCTACAACCTTTTTACGTCTGGGCCTCAGATTTCTGTATCGGTTTCATGATCATTTGTTAATGTAATAAGCAAGTAGGTGATCATCCTTTTGTGCCTGACGCACGCCCTCGACTTTTTGGGTCTAAGGCAAGCCGGTTACCTCACGATGATTTCCTTTACCGTTCAAGCGAATGGTAAATGCGCACATAGAAAGAAAGCCAAGAATAAACCAATATAAAAAATAAGTTGAAAAACTAGTTTTATATGCATTTGTCGCGTTCCTAAAGACTGCTATGGTTCATTTATATAAACCACAGCGGTTTTTTTATGTATATTTCATATGAATATGATGATTTACATATTATGATTTCAGAATAAAATCATAATATGTAAATCATATTATGATTTTATTCTGTAAAAAAGATAAATTAAAAATAAAGTGTTTAATTGATTGGAGATACATTTAATAAATATTAGGAATACATTACAAGATGTTATAAGTTGTTTATGCTTTCTGTATAATTTTTGTTAACGGAGTAAATTGTAAATAAAAGATAAGGATATGAAAACTCACCTGGAACTGTCACATCGAGTAGATACGCTCGTGCAGGACTTTGGCAGGCATCAGCATCGAAATCCAACAGCACAGTACCAATTATAGTGAAAAACACACCCCAAGGATGGTAATTCGTTCCTTCCGTTTCTAATGCTGTACTACGTGGGCCTAATACTGAGGGAACTTGGGTCCTATTTACATTTCCTAGGTCACCAAGCATATAACCCAAGGTTTCACCATTGGGTACCAAGATTAGACCTGAAAATTTCTTTTATCTTAGTGTGTGTGACTCTTAAAATTTAAATTTGGAACTACGGTAGATTGATAAAATTTGTTTTTAATAAGGACCTCGGAAAATTTAAATACTAACATATTCTTCTCCTTCTGACAAATTGTCTGCCGTTTTATAAAGTGAGAGATCATTACTTTTGTAAATTACGTTATGGTGATTTTTATGTATAAAGGTGGGTATATAAATAACATTGCAGAATGATAAATGTAATAATTTTATAAGTGTTCACAGCGTATCTTTATGGCACTGGGTTCTATTCAACTAAAAATATTTTTATAGTTTCAATAGCGGCCATAAGCGGTTGATTGAATCATTAGAGTTCCTGTGCATAAATTAATAAAACCAATTTATTATTGGACTAAAAAATAATTCAATGTTTTTGGGTGACAAGGACAAAACACTTCATAGCTATTTCAAATAACATCTGCGTAACCGTTTTACAGTGAATAGGACTTTATTATCAAAAGTCTGTAGCCCTATCTGCTACAAGAACTGCGCAGTTGTCACATTTGTTGAATACTCACAAATACGAAAGAGTGTTTGTGAGGCTTTCATCCTGAATTTAAGTAACTACTTTATATTATAAAAAATATATATATTAATTAATATTTGTATAAATATAAAATTATAATTATATATTTGTATAAATATAAAATTATAATTATATATTTGTATAAATATAAAATTAGTTTGCCAAAGAAGTTTCACTTCTGACATGTGTACGCACTTTTTTTTCATATCTCCTGGTTACGAGTTAAGTCATGTCCATTGCGATAGTATAACTTCCGTAAAGAAATTAGTACATAAAAAGTGATTCATTCATTAAAACGGTAATAATAAAACTTATTTACCTAAAAACACTCCAATGGACATCATAACGATAAATGGTCGCCGTCGTCCGAATTTAGATTTGCACCTGTCACTCAGCGAGCCCAGGAGAGGAGTCATAAAGAAGCCTATTAACGGTGAGAGCGCCCACACCATAGTCATTTGGTGATGGGGCACTCCAATCTGGAGCAGGGTGGGCGAAACGAAGGCCGTCTCGCCCGCGTATGAAAATTCTATGCCCATTACTGCAGCCGATATACGCATAAGTTCCAATCGGTTTTTCCGCCTGCAAGTTGAAAAGGCTTTTCATTTTCAGTTAACTTAAGTTTTATACTAAGCGTTTTTTAAAGTTCAAAATCATTTATTCAATTAGGTTACACAATGTACACTTAAAGAAATACATATTAAATGCTAAAAGCTTCTAATTTTACATTTACTGCCAGTTCTCAAATCAAGGGCGTTGATGAATATATTATGATAATTAATAAACTCTCGCCAAGTTTTTTGTTTTACACAATGTTTGTAAGGAGCCATTACATTACACCATGTTCCACAGGACATCTTTGGTAATGAATAGTTAATTAATTATTAAAAAAAAATAAAACCAAAGATTTGTCCTTTACACCAGTACGCATGGTGAAATAGGAGCACACACTTACATTCTCGTGGGAACAACACGAAATGTTATATTTTATAATTGTGCATCGTTTAATTTATTGACGAATAAATCGTATACAATTGAAAAATATGTAAGAACGACGACCCTCGTCTAAGGTTTTAGTTTTCGGAAATAAAAACACTTTATCGTATTAAAATAATTGTTTGTTAGTAAAATTACATTGGTTTACGAGTATAATGTATTTAAAATATATCCCTTACTTGGGGAGTTTTATTTTAAATTAAATGTGATTAAACGTGTTTTAATTGTAAGTATGTTTTGTATATATGTATTATACACATTAAAATTATATATTTCTTTAGAATATTCGTTATTAATTACAAAAAACCAATATATCCGTAATTTATCAAAACATTCAACACTTTGTCGAATAGGGTCAGAAAAATCTACAAATAGACAAATTTACTTGACATTACATATGTAAATATAGTTCTATTTTAATTCTGCATCAATATACTATATGTATGAAATTAGATAACCTAATTAGATTACACCGTTCAGGCAAGGTTAAGCTTACTGTGATTTAATAAAGTGTAGATAGTAAAAAGTATTAAATTTAGTTTTGTCTAACACATAAAAATAACTTGCATAAAATTTTCGCAAAATTTTGAAAAAATATTTAAGTTTCAAATCAGTCTTAAATTAATAATTTTAAATTGATAAGCACAAATTTTGAATTATAAATTCTCCGTACATAGTAAGAGTAATTTTATATATCTATTAGCGTAAAACCTTAAACAATATGTTATATGTACATACATACCTGAATATATCGCTGTATTCGCTGTTATCATACTCTCGGTTGGGCGGCTCAGATGACGTAGGTATACCAAACAGCATCTCCTTCAAAATCTCCCGAATCCCACGCGGATGGTTCTCCTTCCATTGCGCGTATCTCTCCTTCCACCGGTCCCTTATTCCATGCCACCGGCCAGTTACACCCTGGTAGTCGTCCAATTTATCCGCCATTATCACTAAAAAGCACAACTCATTTTACGAAATTTAAATATGGAACACTATTACACATTTTGGACCCAGGATTGCTACTTTCAGTTCGAAAGTCTAAAGAATACTGAAGCGCCCGCGCCGCCCTCCGTCAGACTCCCGCCCTGAAGTAAAACAACAGCCTTATATTTCTAGATGTGACTACTTTACCGTGTGAACCACTTATTGAAACATTTTCCCAGCGTTTGTTTTCCGTTTTAAGGTAATTTGAATTGATTATTTATGTACTGATTATGTTTTTATACCAATTACAAGTTTTATACATAAATGAAATACTTTGTCATTATTCTAAGTGGAGAATTTATTTAAAATTTTAATTTTAAATTATAAATGTTTAATTATGTAAAAAAGTTAATATTGGCCTTACGTCGCGTCTGTTGTAAAACCGGACTTAACGATTAGGTATTCGCTATAAGTATTTTGTATAGTTAATATAACATGTATGACGTATGTATTAATTTAAACAAAAACTATGTTACACTGAAACAAATAATTATAAATTTACTGAGTAATATAAAATATTGTATGGTAATTAGAAGTAAAGTGTAATTAAAATGTGTTTTTGTTCATTTGTTTATCTCTTTATGCATGTACTCCAACGATATATGGATTGGTAAAAATAAGAATTATAAATATATGACAGTCGATACATCTTTAATTTATTTTTTTAGGATCAATTAGCCCTTTCAAGATTTATTTTTTCTACAAGTTTAAAATGGTACAATTTGGGTTTATTTAACTAAGAACATACTTCCTTCGTCGTCGAGCAGTGTTCGCCTGGTGGCTCCAGGGTGCCTGTCTCATCTCTGAGGTCATAGATTTGATCCACAGCAGGTAGTACGTTGAAGAAAAACATCATGAGGAAACTAGCCTGTGTCAAATCCAAAAGCCGACGACATGTGTCAGACAGAAGATCGCCTATTTTTTTATGAAATATTATCAAACAATAAGGTTGCAGCGCAACTGGATTATTTTTATTATTCATCTACAAATTTTAATGGACTTAAGCAAATTTTCTACAGTGTTGACGACGGCTTGTGTCAGGCACAAGAAGCTGATCACTTACTTGCCTATTAGATTAACAAATGAAAGAGATACAGAAATTTGAGGCCCAGACCTAAAAAGGTTATAGAACCACTGTTTTTTTTTTATTTTCAGCAAATTTAAACCATATTCAATATAACATGAAAACATAATAATCATAATATAGTAATGTTTGCCGTATTAATTTTTAAATGTTTTCCCTTTAATAATACGCATAAGCACTATCAAGTGCCAATCAAAGAAGTGCCGCCGGTGCTTAACAAACTTAAACGATATCAACACTTAGTTATCGAAAATACTGTCACCGATAATGTTTACAAGGTTTGTAGACTAGACGATAGACTTAGCAACCATTTGGACCATGGTAATTTATAGATAAATTTAATGACACTTACTATCAGATTTACTATACGATGTTATGAAATATTAAATATAAATGAAAAATATTACTTGAATTGGTCTAGCTGTTTTCGAGTTTTGCGCTTAGCAACGTATTTTTCGATTCATGTTTTCATACATGAATTCTTCAACCAATAATAAATTATTTGCTTATTTAAAATTTAACATTAAAATGTTCATTGGTTCTTTTAAAAGCCCGATGAATAAGGACACTATCATCTTTCTGCCATGTTTTTTTTATGTAATTGGATGCAAACGGGCAGGAGTCTCACCTGATGCTAAGTGATACCGCTCATGGACACTCACATTGCCAGAAGTCTCGTAAGTGCGTTGCCGGCCTTTTAAGAATTGGTACGCTCTTTTCTTGAAAGACCGTTGAATTGGTTCGGAAATACTTCAATGGGCAGCTGGTTCCACATAGTGGTGGTGAGCGGCAAAAACTGCCAAACACTGAGTTGTGAAACGACGGACGTTAAAGTGATAACAGGAGAAACACATAATAAGCAACTATTTTGTTATTATTTATTCAATTGTATGCTACAACTAACTATAGGCAAATTTATCTTATCTAATTCTGTCAATATGTCTATGACATCATGATTAAACTGATTTGCAGAATACAGAATATTAGTCTCAAATTACTTAATAGCTACTAAATTTTTAAAGAAAATTTTTACTTACAATTTAATTTTAATAAGCACCCTGACCAAAAGTTGGAGTAAAAACGAAAAATAGTTATCACTTGTGCTCAAAGTACTTTTTATTACAAAAAACATTTCCTTATCCAAGTAACGATTGAAATGTTTCAACCTCTTAAAAACCAATAACGTGGTCTTATTAAATTCAAATTTAAATTCATTTTTTCATTTAGGTAACACAATGTACACTTATGAACGTCAATAAAGAAATACATATTAAATGCTTCAAATTTTACATTTACTGCCAGTTTTCAAATCAAGGGCGTAGAACGGATGAGAAGAACAGGCAATAAACTCTCCGCCACTCTTTTTAATCGCCATTAGGTGAGTTCGAACATTATAGGCAAAGATCGGGCCTCGACTAATGTTGGCTGGGGCACCTTGAGCGCACGGGCCAAGATCGGTAAAGGAGGCTTTGTTGACCCAACCTAGTGGTCGGAGACTGTAGATCGGTACCGCTAGATCGACAGAGTGGAGAAGGACCTGCTGCAGCTGAAAGCCAGCAATTGGTGGGAGGTGGTACAGGACAGGGTGTGCTGGAAGATTCTAATTTCGGAGGGCATGACACTTTTTGGGTAGCAGAGCCAGCGGTGTGAGTGAGTGAGTATTCTCTCTCTCTTCAGTCTCTAGCTCATGTCTGAGCGCCGTGGTCAGCAAGGAAACATCTGGAGCACACTATCTGTTTCCACTGGTCCAGCGACTATCTTATAACAGTGTATAGTTTTGAGGACGATGAGTATTTCATTTGATCGGTCCATCTCATTGGTGAACAGCCACGTGATCTTTTACCTTCTGTGTTACCAACCACAATGAGTTTCTCCAAGTTCTGATCGCCTCTGAGTAAGTAATAAGGGGAGTTATATAATCAGGTAACTCCTCGTAACTTCTTCTCTTTTTTACTGTTCGTATGCAATTTTTAATTATAAATTGATACCGATTAATTATAAATGTTTCCTTTGATTATTTTGTTACGTAATATCAAAGTTTATATCACGCGAGCGTACGAATATATATCCATACATAATCAAACAATTCACCTAATCAATCATTCAATGTGTTGTTATCAGTGACGTAGTAAGGAAAAAAGTGAAAAATCCCCAAGACAACATAGAATTTATATTAAAACAAGTTCTTCAAATAAAAGTCATAAGACACGCGTCTAATCAGGTCACTCACACATCATAAGCTCTCGCAAATATTTAACATTTTCGTGTTTTTATCATTTACGTTATTAATTTGGTAGCAAACGAAATGAATGTTTACTTTAATGCTGTCAAATTAAGATAATTTAAGTCAATAAAAAATGAGCTCGTCCGATATCAAAACATTATGTACTCTATATACGGTAGTTAGTTAAATTAAATCACTAAAAAAATAATATAACAATAAAAAATAACCTTAAAATATAATAACTAAAATATATATTTAAAAGGAATCCCTTTAGTCAAGGTTCCGAAGATACTGGCAGCGTTCCCCCTTTGAATAGCTAGACTAATTGTTTGTTCGAGGTAGCTGCCAGCTCTTCGGTTTTCTGTGATATAGACATAAAAAAAATAGTTAAATTAATTCTTTAAATAACTTCTACATGCGCCTCGACTCCGGTCGTGTCAGACACATTTGTCTCTTTGGGCTGAGAGATAAATGAAAGAGTAAACCTTTTGGCAATGTGTTTTGTGGTGATGGCAAGTCTGCCAGTAAGCTTCTAGCTTACTATCCTATTATTTTGTGATGCACTATCTATATCGATGGCTATTGAGATTATGAGAGATCTTATAGAACAGGGGGCAAACGGGCAGAAAGCTCACCTGATGTTTACCTGCCACCCATAGACACTCAATACCAGAGGGCTCGCTAATACGTTGCCAGCCTTTCAATAATTGGTATGCTCTTGAAGGATCCCTATCCTTTACCTATGATATATATTCAGTAATTCATACAATGACAGTATTTAATCGCGTCGGGTTGTCTCTCTCCTTAAAATATGGCGAGGGGGCCTATGGCTGGCCATGCGTCATACTCGTGAACGGGTGCTACTTGTGGTGACTGGTCGTATTTGAATTCGTGTATGCGGTGATGTTAGTTATTAGGTCCTTACATATGAAATTGGCGTTTTGTATGCAGCTAACTCGGACGTGGTTTGCGATGGATCCGCTTCCACAATAGCCTTCAATACTTCATTATCAACTTGGGTCTCAGGCCGTCCACGGGGCTTGTTCTGCAGGTCGAAATTTCCAGAACGAAAACGTTGGAACCAAAAACAAACTGTGATTTCTTTTGCAACATGACCGCCATACACATCATTCACCCTTCTAGTCGTTTTCGCAGCACTAGTGCCACGGCGGAACTCGTACTCGTAAATAATGCGATACTTTAAGTTTTCCATTTTGTAAAATGAGTGACGCAATCAGAAAAAAACAGAAGAAAAACCAAATGAATGACGGTCATCGAAGCACAAATACATGAGTAAATAGCTGTACAAATTTGAATTTGGAATTCCTTACCAGAGGAGAACATCGTGATTAAAGTGGCCAGTACGAAATACGCCAATTACATATCTAAGGACCTAATATTTCGACTATGTATTTGCGTGTTGTTCCCGCGAGAATGTAAGTGCGTGCTCCGATTTCACCATGCCTCCTGCTGATATAGGACAAATCTTTGTTTTTAATTTATTAAGATGTCATGTGGAACATGATGTAATGGTTGCAGCTCCTTGCAAACATTGTGTAAAACAAAAAACTTGGAGATTAAAAAGAGTGGCGGAGAGTATATTTACAATTCTTCTCTTCCGTTCTACGCCCTTGATTTGAGAACTGGCAGTAA